TGTATATCTGCCCAAGTTCTAGTTCAGGGCCTGAACTTGTATGGTGTAAGTGCCTGTGCTCCCAAAGCAGGAAGCTCTTGGCACCAGGTAGGGTTAGGCCGTGTTTGCAGGTGTGTTGCTTGTGGGTGGGATGGGAGAGGCTGTCTCAAATGATTGGAGGGAGTGCAGCATCCTTGCTAGAGCTGATGCGATTCATTGTGGCCCCCACCACTGCTTGATCTAGATGTCTTGCATTTGACAGTTAACGCATGCTCACAGCATGCCTCTGGGGCAAGGTGCTATCTCCATTTTTCCAGTAGGGCACTGAGGGGTAGAAAGTGATGCCCACAGTCACCCCAAGCATATGGCAGAGCAGGGAGCAGAGTGCAGATCTCCTGAGGTCCTGCCCAGTGCATTGCTTCATAGATCATCTTTTTCTTTAATTGGACCTTGGTAGGAATGTAGGTCTAGAAAGTACCTTTTTAACTCAAACTGAGCAGACTTGTCATGGAAACTGGGCTGTGGGGGGAGAGATGAGGAAGTCCTGCTGTGCAGTTTTCGGCAGGAGGAAAGCAAAGAGGCCACAGCCAAGAAATCTTTCCGTGTGGTAATGCCTCATTACCATGAAACAAACCATGTGTGACTTGTGGAGTAGTGGGGGGGAAAGGGAGGGAGGGGGGAAAAGCATTTGATGACAGAAATATTAATCCACCCAAACACTGCAGCTTCCCCACGTGACTGGATTCAATACTGTTGCAGCTGGTTGATCGCTTTATAGCATGGAGCACAGCCTTTCTTGCCCTGGAAAATTAAAGGGCTATAGATACTTGTGGGAGCAGGGGCTGTCTCATGGGATTCCTCTGGCCGGTTTGGAGCCCTGGATCTCTCGTAGCCTGGAGGAATGATTGCTGTGGTTCAGTTCAGCCTGTAAAAGAATAAGCAGGAGGAGACTTTTTTTGAGGACCACACTGGACATGGTTCTCTCCTTAAAGGAACACTGCTAGGTTTATAATGGTGCCTTTTTAATACCATATTTTCCCTTTGGTGCAATATCTCTGGGGTTATTAACATGAAAAGAACTTCTTAAAAACTTACTTTTGACTCGTGGGTTTTTTTTCTTTCTGAGTTAACAAACTTAGCTTTGTAATTTCACTTTATGGTCAATTCCACTTTTATATTCCCCAGCAGAATGCAAACGGGGTGTAGGAATAGCGTATTAATTCATAAAGCTTCCACTTGGAATTTAAAAAAGGTTATTTATGAATAAGGATGCTTCCACTACTAGCCTGTCTGGCTTCAGTGCAGTTGTGGTGAGAGCTGGAGAGAGAACTGAAACGATGGGGCATTGTAGCATTAAAGACTACAACTTTTATTAGACCTTTAGTTTGAAGGGGTAATAAAGTCTACTTTAACAGGCTAAACACAAATAAAATCGCCTGGGTTGCTGCCAGCATCTGGAGAATGACTTTTACAGTAAGAATCCAAAATGCTGCAAGCCTAATACTAAGACTGTCTGGAGATTTGTTTTCTCATTTCTGTAATGCCTTCCATCAGAGAACTCAGCCATTTCATATAGGCACTGTTTCCTGGTGCCTTTCTTCCTCTGAACTCAGTAGCGATTATCCGTATTTTTCAGATGTATAAACTGAAGCACCAAGGGATTAGGCCCAAGTCCGCAGCTGCGACAATAGAAGTGCGGACCACCAAATCTCAGCCCCCGCCAACCCTGCTAAGTCCACTAGGTTGGGCCCCTCTCCACCATGCTCCTCCGGTTGCTCCTATCAGGACTGTGCAGTTGTTCTGATCTGTAACATGGGGCCGGCGCATGCTGAGTGTCTCGGCAGAATGGCCCTGCATGCAGCTGCCACGGACTCCAGCGTTGTTTTAACTGGCTTGTTTTTCTGTCACCCTCTTCCTCCCCTTCCTTCTCTCACTTGAAGGTGATGCACTTCTTGATGCTGGTGAATCTATGAAGCGGTTGGCTGAGGTGAAGGACTCGCTGGATATTGAAGTCAAACAAAACTTTGTCGACCCCCTTCAGAACCTGTGTGACAAAGACCTCAAAGAGATCCAGGTAACCACCAAGATACGCTTGCACACTCTCTCTGAGCTCTTTAGAGCAGGTGCTCCTGTCCAGTGTCTTTGTGGGAGTCCTGGTGGACTTGCACAGTACCTGTTGTTACACTGTGTTGTACCTGCTTTCTCAACTTGTCCTCTCAGCCACTAGCATATTGTCCCAGTCTGTTCAGCCGCGGCTGCTGTTGCTGCTGCTGCTTAACCAGGGCACAAGGCAGGATTTTTCTTGGAAGTGTTTCAAGGTTCACTTGCATTCCTTGCTACCTTCCACGTGGTCTCTTGGCTTCCTGTGACCCAGAGCTGGTGGTACTTGGAGCTCTGCACTGGAGGTCCCTGGGATGTCAGAGCATTGGATTGCCTTATGCAGATATCAACAATCCCTGCTCCATAGTCCCAACATCTGAGATTCATGGGTTTGGGATGCAGGGTGTGCCAGTTTCTCTCTTGCTCACATCTGTATCCTCTGGAAAACCCCAGCAGCTTCCTCCTTCCCACACGGGTCTCCTGTCAGAGCAGCCCTCTTTGCTGAAGAGATGCAGCTCCCAAGCTAGCTATAGTGTATATTCCCTGAGCACCTTCAGATGGTGTAAATCCCCTACAGATCAATCTGTGTCCTGAGAAGGTTGCAGTCTTAATAGTTGCACCAAGCCAAGGGCTTGCACCCGAATGGTTCTCTCTCAAAGGCCCCTGACAGCCTAGCTGAAGGCAGGGGGCCAGCCACACATTCTTCTCAAATTGATTTATGGAAACCAGCCCTGTGCTACGTGCAGCAGTTTGGTTCCCCTCCAGGTTGTGACCAGAACGTGGAGAAAAATGTATCCTCTTGCCAATTGCTTTATGACTGTTTTGAAGTAGTAAAGATGACTCCAGAATCCTAGGACTAGTCCTCTGCTAAACTGGATCTCCACTGTCCACTCAACCCTGCCATTGAACCTCGGTCCTGACCCGCTCTCTTTGTGCTTTTGGACTGTTGCCATGGTGGCCTTCTGTTTGGGAGATGTTTGGGCACCTCTGGCTTGTGGGTCTTGGGGTTTTTTGGGGTTTTTTTACCTATCACTGCCGGTCTTTCCTCAGCACCATCTGAAGAAGCTGGAGGGCAGGCGTCTGGACTTTGACTATAAGAAAAAACGTCAGGGAAAGATCCCGGATGAGGAACTGCGACAGGCCATGGAGAAATTTGAGGAGTCAAAGGAAGTAGCCGAGACAAGTATGCACAACCTCCTAGAGACTGACGTGAGTGTGCCCTGGGGCAAAGGAGCTTGGACTTCCACAGGGAATGCAGCATCTGGAGGGGGGCGAGGGGGTTTCCCTTCTGGGGTAGGGCTGGCTGCTGTTCTAGCACTTAGTAGAGCTGATCCTGCCCATCTATCCCTATAATTATTGTGCAGCACTTCCTGTTATTCCAGTGCTGGGCCTTTACCAGGCAGCTTTGGAAATGTCCCGCAGCCCATCCCTACCAACCCAACCCTTAGCTCTGAGGAGACACCGATTATTTCATTGGCCTGAAGCTGCTCAGAGTCTGAGTGGCCAGGATGTGGGTGACATGAATCGCAGGCATTCAGAAAGGCATGAATCTGTCTCCCCAGAGGTGGCAAGTTGCAGACACTGTGCTCCATGCCTTGGCAAAGACTGGCCTCTTGCGCCTGACCCAAATATAAATGCCAAGTGCTTTCCGCAGGGCTTCCTGGCACCCAAACTCTTGTGCTGTGAAGGCTTGTCCTGCCCTACTTGCTCACTGCACATTGCAATTCTTGCAGATTGAGCAAGTGAGCCAGCTCTCAGCCCTGGTGGAAGCCCAGCTGGACTACCACAGGCAGGCAGTGCAGATCCTGGACGAGCTCACGGACAAGCTTAAGCGCAGGTGAGGCCTCCTGGAGTAGTTACAGGCCCTGGTACTGACCTGCTGGGAAGCCTTGTGCCAGTATGTGCTTGGCTCCTGGGAAATTACTCCCTAGTGCAAGCCCCTTTTCAGGTAGCTTTATCATCATCTGTGACTGCATCCCTGTAGGTCAGTTGGAGGTGGAAGGTGTATCCATAAAGTTGTTACCACTTCTGAGTTGATCCCGTCTCAAGTTCTGCTTCCTCTGGTATCAAAAGGGTCACACAGCATCATCCTAGCACCCTTTGACTCAGCTGCCTGGCATCCTGATTGATCCATGAATACCTAGATCCATTTATTACAGCAGCACCCAAAAGCACCAGGCAGGAATCCTTTATGCTGCTTGCTGGTCGAATAGGCAAGCTGGAAAGGTGCCTGCAGAGCTTATGTATTTAAGGATGGGGCAAGCAAGTGGAAGAGACAGAGGAAGAAATTTGGAGGGTGTAGGGAGGTAATATTTAATAGACTTAAAACATCGTGTTGGGATAAAGCACACTCTCAGGGCGCAGTGGAGCAGATGCGGTGGATTTTTCCGCTGCATCTGCACACTCCTGCAGATGCTAACTCCTGCTCTGTTTACATTTGGGTATCCTAGCAAACGGCTGCAAACATGACTCCCACATGTCCCTTGCAGTATTAAAAATGAAACGCATTGCTCGCTCCCACAAATGGAACACAGATCAGCGCCTGGCTCGGAGGAGCAGAAGAGAAGCCTTGTCTGAGGGACTGTGTTCTTGGGCAGGGAGAAATCCTGGCTGGGGCCGAGGACTACCCTTGTGTGTTTAGCAGTGAGAGCTTGTGTTACTTGGGATCAGTACTGGGCATGCAGCTCTGCAGACAGCAACCAACTTAATAACCCCCTGCTAAGTTTGCCTCCACCCCCTCCACACAGCATGTAATTTTCCTTGTGCTCCAACCAAATCCTTGCTGCCCTTTGAAACGTGGCGCTAAGTTTTGTCCCTTTATATTTCAGCTACTTCTAGCTGTTTTGGGAACACTGACTGGGCTGTTCCTCCACTGGAGAGACTGACTCACAAAGCAAATGAAAGGACTAGATCTGCCCCCAGTTTGAGAAGGCAGGCAAACGCCAAGGGGAGAGGGATCAGAGCTGCCCCAAAGGAAATGGGATGGAGTTAAACACAGGCTCAAGCCTATGGGAAGGGGAAATGGCTCACTGCTGGTATGGGCTGCTGAGCTGTGGAAGGCTCTCGGGTGAGTTAAGGGAAGTCCCAGTTCTCACATTGCTTAGACTGGGCCAGGTCCTGTGCTGCAAAGAACTGCCCTGTCCTGCCGTGGGGAGAGACCCTGGATGCAGCTTAACAATTCTCTTGTGTTATGACTGATAGCTGGATTACCTGTTGCTCACTGGGCAGACTGGGACTTGGGTGTGAGGCTGTTACTGCCTTCAGGGTGATGCTGGACAATTCATATTCCAGTACATGCCTCAGTTTCCCCATGTGTTAAAATGAGGAAGTGCTTTGAGGTGCTTAGTATTTCCTGTGCCCTGCATAGGAGCTAAAACCCTAGAGCCTTGTCGAGCTGCCTGCTGGGCCCCTTGCAGCATTCACCCCCTGAAAAGCTGTGTGGCACCCTCTGGGGGATGTCTGAGCAGCCCAAGGTTGATGCCAAGATGTCCAGCCCCGTGAAACTGCTGTTAAAATTGCTGGAGGACAGGATCATATAATGCCCATGCCTGACTTTTTCCCTCTTCCTGCTGCTCTGCCGCCTCCTCCAAGCTCCACCGCGGGGAGATGGGGGCCTTCAGGTTATGCCTGCCCCTGTCCTCTTTTCAGCATGTGTGTTCCTGGTGTCAATAAAGCAGTTTCCTGTTCTCTGGGTGGCTTGCTAACTCTGCTCTGTGCTCATTCCTCCGTCGTGGATGGGAATCGACAAGCAAACACAGGCTCTGGTTTAAATTAAACCTGGGCCAGAGTTGGAAGGATTGTAGAAATTGGAGAACACAGGCTGCTGCAGCAGTGGCCCCTGCTGGCCAGAGAGTCAGTGGGACTGCAGAGAGCCCGAGTACAGGGCTCACTGTCCGTGGGGACCTAGGAGGGCTTCTGTGAAGCAGAAGCAGACCTCTGCTTGGGGGGGGGGGGGGGGGGGGGG